GTTTACGTATTAGGGATATCCAGGTTAGTTGCGATGAGCACCTAAGGTTACATATTTCGCAATCCATAGCGAACACTGACGATTCGTTTGTTGCAAATGCACACCTCAACATTAAATCGAAAGTTATCGCAGCACCACGAAATTAACAGAATGTATTTGACTTGCAATTAAAGTTAAACTTCCGGTTCATAGAGCAGTTCTTTCCAACAAAATGTGTCCTAGGTTTCACAGACGACGACTATTCAGACTGTTTGGGATTGCAATAAGTTTTTCCTGTGCCAAATCATTATCAGCTAAGCACTTCAAAAAGTATTTGTGTGAAATTCGAAATGTGTATACTGTAACTGAATTCACAGAATGTTTTAATTCATGGTAAAGTTTGTTTCTAAAGTCGCCTATTATTTTAGCAGTTGAGAACAACAACCTTTTCGTAACGGAATTGGTTTTAATGTTTCTCAACTACTGCAGCAACTTCAGTGTTGAGTGTTATTACACCTGCACGCTGGATGTCGCTGTGAAACCGAGGTAACTGACTTTGCAAACGTTCATATTCGTCTATTTATAAGAAACTAATTCTTTTAATCCTATTCAGTAGAGGAGAAGTATTGGAAGGTCCCAAAAACTCGATTTTTTTTTGTTCTTAGAAGATTGTCTTTTAGAAGAATGCTTTGCATGCTTACTCCGTGGAAAACTTACCTAGCCCTTCAGGATTTTTCGCCGGGAATCTCACAAGAGATCTTGATAAATATTGTTTTGTGTTGAAAGAACTATGCATAATTCATAGATGGTGGAAAAGCTTCATTCAGGTTGTAGGCATACAGAAAACAGCTTTTTTGGCATTACAGAAAGCATCTTAGATAAGAAAGCTTTCTCCTCGGATGGGTTTCTTTCATGCTTTATATTACCCCTAACGCTGAAGTTTATTTAGAAATTCAGTTTTAAGCACTAGTAGTTGGATTGTCTTAAAGATTTTTCGGTTCTTTTGCTTTGGTCCTGTAGATGATATACCGTTTTGAGTGGCATGAAACCTCTTTTGTTACATGTTGCCTGTTGCCTTCATTGATGTTCCAATGAAGCAATAAGGTCTTTCATTCTACTTAAGTTAATTATGACTCCATTACCTCTTACGTCACGTGTCACTTATCGTCTTCATTGATGCTCCAATGTAGCAATAAGGTCTTTCATTCTGTTCAAGTCCATTATGATTCTATTACCTGTTATGCTACCTGTCACTACAATTTCTTAAAATTTGTGTGCTGCTTGAATTATGTTTTCCTCTTTGACAACTATTCCGATCAAACATTGTGTATTCGCCTTTCTGTGACTTAGCCTTTAAGTTTTGCCGATAGGTTGTAAGTGCTAAACTCAAGTAAAGTTTCCATTTCTAAGCAATGTCAGTGTAATGCATCGCACTTGTTGCTAGTCTTCATTTTAACAATTACGAGTCGACTCATCTCTGTAATTAGTTACAATATAACCAGTTAAAAAGATAAAGCTCTCGGCGTTGACCAATTCTTGAGGGATATGCCATGCATTCGACTTTATTAAGCATCGTTGGAGGTGATTGAATGCATATCTGGCCTTTAAAATGACTCGCAGTGGCCTACCGATGTATCGAGCCAGTGCTGCTATTCTCTCAGACAACTCTGGTACTCTTTCCAATTTTCCGACTTCGGATGGATGGAAGGCTTGGTGAGCCACGGTCGCGGGGACCGACCCCACATGTGTGTTGCAGGACGCCTCTGACTGCGCCGCACTAGTCCCCAATAAAACCAACTACAACCTTTAAACATTATTTACAGGCTGCAGGTTCTCTTGTACTATCATGATAGATTACTGACTTTCTGGAGCTTGTGAAACATAATTCCACCTTTATTTTTTTTATTCATCTAAAGCTCATACTTGGAGCAACTAAACAAGTAGGATTTCATCCAACAGAGCAATATATGGTGATTTTTGTAGCCAGCTTATGTTGATTTGCGTGTCGTTCAATTGCTGTTCGTAGGTATTGCCAGTCACGTTGTAACTGTTCGTGATCGATGAAGAAGTACGGGTTTCGGCCGCAGCTGAATGCGTTTCTAGAGCCAAAAGGTGTGCTCACTCACATACACTGTCGATCTCTGATGTGCCAGTTTCCTACGATGAAAAGATTACAAGTGGCTACTTTGAAAAATGTGGATTCTTGTGTAACACATTGATCACGGTGTGGTCCACATATGACTAATCACCTTTCTAACTATGTTTCTGCATTTGTACAAGCGTACACAATTGAAATACGATTACGAGATATCTGGTTGTGAGTTATATCAGAGAGGAAAAAGTGCTGCGCAATGTTCGGTGCTCTACAAATGTGGCATACCGCATTGTGATTTTCAGCTGCAGCCTCAATTTAAATGGAGAAATGCCGATTTGGATTCTCCAGATGGCTTCTGTTGAAGGGTGATTGCTAATGGCACCGATTGATAGAAAACTAGCTGAAAGATAGGAGAAACGAAAGACCCGAATTGAGTGTTGGTGAACGCGTTAGCCCCTGGAAAAGATAATAACGCGTTTGTTCCTCTTTGCAGACACCTGTGGTCCGCATTTTTTCAAATATGCCAGCACCATTGTGGTTCTTATGATCCTTCATTGAAATAATAGCAACACAACATTAACAATATGGCGCTATCTGGAACGGTTGGGCATTCTAGTTGAGCGAACTAACTGAGCAAACTAACTGAGGTAACGATTTGAATAAAGCGAAGAAGAAAACTAACTAGGATGGCTCATAATAATAATAATATAATGGTAATATACTCATAATATATATATATAATATACTCATAATATAATGGTCCTTATATTCCTTCTGTAACAGACGGAGTTTTGAGAGAAGGAATTTGGGTTAGTGCTCAAAGAGAGATTATAGGAAGTTTCCCATTTGGTACAATCTGATAGAGCTGATTGAACAGAAAGTGAATGGATGGCTCATGGATCATAAGATCCTAATTTCAATTGTAACCTGCGGCACAATTTAATCCTGCTAATAATCAAATAGTTGGAGCTGAAATCACGAAACCCCATTCATCTTAGTCTCCTAACGGAGCTGTTTGAAAGTTTCTACCCTCACGAGAGAACCGATAAGCATGCCTTTTTTACTCCGCCTAACTAGAAGGAAACCATGAACAGGTCACAAATACTTTTCCGTAGCTAAGGTTTGCTCATATGTGGGCGGAAAATACTGTGAGCATTCTCCCATCATAGATGACTCTTCTTTGGATGTGCTCCACGGCCCAATACCAAGAAACATCCCCTGTCACCATAAGGGGGAAAACATTGGGAAAAATTGAGAAAACGTATAGTCGTCTAGTTCTTACCCTATGCGTTTTAATAAGATAAAATATTGCGACAAAATATTAGTGGAAAGATGAGATGGCACGCAATCTTCTTACACGATTTTCTACCCATAATTGGCCAGCTGTTGCACGAAACAAACGAAGTATCTGGTTCTATACCTCCCTCGATTATTAAGCAAACAAGAGGTTGATAAAAGAGGTTCGTTTGGTTAAAGTTTTTACGTCCTTCTCTTTTTCAGAGCTGGATTGATTGGAGTTGGTGGTACACAGGCTCCGCGATTTGGTTGTTCACTATCGCAGCGAGTGAAATCTATTGAAGTGGAGAACCGATGGAATGAATCAATGATGGAATGAAAAATGTCTGGTTTTATTCAGTGCAGTTTTTTCGTTATGGTATAGAAGCGCCTTCTAGTTAAGCTTTTTAATGCTTGCGGTCAATAGGAAAATTTACACGTAAAAAACAGTGGATTGGGCTCCAAAAGAATGAAACCGTTCTCTTCCAAAATCGCCCAACGTGGAGCAGGCGTGTTCAAAAGCAAATGTCAACCATCTGCATTCGCAGATGGAAGCGGTGTTAAGAATTCAGAGTGTCATTTCCAATCGTCACCATGTTCGAAGAAAATCAATACCATGCAGGACGATACCGCGAGAGATAAACGAACAGAAATTATGCTGGGGCCTGCGCAGTAATGAAGACGTGTAATTCAACTAGCAAAGGAAGTGTAGTCAATAAGACGACTAATGCAACTTTATAAAAGCTAGCAGTGCAAAGAAATCTTATCATGATAAAATGAGGATGCTTAGGAGAATCTGATTTTTTATCGTATCGATCACATACTGAGAATGCTCTTATTTGCATTTGAGGTCAACGGTAGACGCTCTGTCTTCATTACATCTGCCAGCATCTATTTTCTTTCAGTACTACCACTCATGAGTATTATTTTACTGAAACTGGCTTGCTTTACTCTGTAGGATAAAATGATCATCCATAAAAAAAAGTTGGTGAAAAAGAGCAGAGCGTAGGAGGTAAGGTATAAATGACAATCTTCCTCATATCTGAGTTGCAACTGAAAATCTTATTTTCGAAGTTTGGTGTGGTGGAAGAGATAATTCTTAGTAAACGGTGAAGCACACACGCAACAGTATCCGGGTTTCCAAAAAATGATAAGTTGGTGACAAGTACTGTATGTTGATGGTGAATGTGGAAAGAGGAACTCTAGCACAAGAGATAGGAGACGAGAACTATAAAACGGGTTCAAGGTAAAGTGTCTGTTGCCAGAAATTACCTTTAAGTACATTGATGACAGAGAATCGTTTCCGAATCTGTTTTTTGAATTACCTTCTCAAGGTATTTTTAAGGCTTCATGGGTCCTAATGGCATAATGCACACTTCATGATTTCACAAATGGGACACAAATGCGAATAGTTCACCTTCACAGTTACTTCAAAACAGAATCTTTCTTCTCCTGTAACACATCAGTGGTCAAATTCATTGGCAAAAATATTGACAGCAATGTGTAGACCAAGTGTGTAAGAATTTTTTCTTAAAGTTACCAAAGCAAATAATTTCTGACAAGCACCTTCCTCATCATTTAAATCAGTCTATCCCTTCCAACCGACATCTGATTGTTCTCAAGGCGATTCTAAAAATTCACGTGTTATCTACTATTCACCAATTAGGTTAGAAAAAAAACAAAAAAATCCCAAGCGACGACTCACTTCACGGTCCCACTTTTTTCTCTCATCGGAAAACACCTGCATTTGGGCAGTGAGCGCTTCTTTAAGCGTCGCAACCTCGCCACGTAAACTAGCAACCTCACCACGTAACGAATTATCAGAATCCTGAGCATAAAATGTTTTTGAGAACAGGAACTGTTTTTATACCTTTGTTAGTCCTTTCTTCAGCAAGCAGGAGAACAACAATTCGTTAAAGTCTGTAATTGGTAAATTACAAACGCCCTTGTTTACCCCTTTCAGAAATAGAGAGTGTTATCAATATCAATTGGCGCGTGTGGCATAGTGGTCGGAGACGCCCTGCACTCATGGAATCGATCCCAAGTCTAAGGCCTACTAAACCTTCCATCACTCCGGGGTCGGCAAATTGGTATCAGACTTGTCTGGGAGGATAGCAGCACTGGCTCGATACATCGGTAGGCAACCGCGAGTCATTGTTAAGGTTAGATATGAACTCATACACCTCCAAACGATACTTAAAGAAGTGGAATGCATGGCGCATCCCTCAGAGATCCATCAACGCAGAGAGCTTTAACCTTTTTTATCAATATCAGTGACGCATAATTTGTCTTCCAATAATCCCATACAACCTTCGATTGTTCGAATAATTCTAAACATCTGGCTAGTCCTTTTTTTTCCACCAATTAAAAAGTGTTAATATTTTGAAGTGGCAAATATGCTCACCAGTGATCGCTTTAGAGGTGGTCCTGAGTGGGTACGCTGTCGACATTCTTCACATTCTCGTGGTTTGTTATTTTCCATTTTCAATTGCATTAATTCACGTTCTAATTGAAAGCACTAAAGCATTCTTACTTAAGAGTTCGTCCATGATTCTTTAGCGAATTTCTTTCCTTGTTGTTGCATGTTTAGAATTTAAACCTTTCTGAGAAGACCCGTCTTCTCATCACGAAGTCCATCAATGGTTCGGTTCATCGTGTCCGTCTGTTTTTGACAACCTGCCAACTGCGCTCGTAACGCATTTTCACCCTTTTCTGATGCGCTGAGACGTGAACGAAGGTGTTCCAGTTCTTCTTTCCATGCTCTCTCTTTTTCTTGATAAACCTGAAATCATTAGCAACTTTTTTTAGTGCTAGTCCCGTTAATGATAGGAAAATGCGAATGGGAACCAGTGAACTTCATTCGCCTACACCGATATCAAAAGAAATCCATTCAGGCTCCGCTAACTGGTTAAGATACGAAGAGTACCATGCTTTCTGAGTGATGCTTTTGCATCAATGCTTTGGAGAAAGGATAGAATTGCAAAACTTGCCGGGTTCTCCTGAATCAAAGGTTTATTGCGCTAGCTAGATGTCCTGACCGAAATTTCCGATGGACTTCTTCACACCTCTTATAAACCTTTTAGTTGTGAAACAAGAGAAAGAAATCCCGTTACAGCTTGACCCCTGCATCAGCTTCCGGCCTTGATCAAGCAGCAAATCACTGAGGAGCGCGCGATTGTAATAAATCAAATTCGAATTTCCTCCATCAACTACGCACTTTTACTATGATCTCTTCATTTTGTTCCATTGTATTTCTGACCACTCGAAGTTCATTTTCCTTGTCTCGAATGAGAGTCTGAAAAAGTTGCGTCTGTGCTCTTTTTCTTCTTATTTTCAAAAAAAACAGTGAGAACGATCAATCAGAATCACCTCATAGTCAACGATACCAGAGTCACTAGGAGAAGGAGTAATATGCAGTGCTGATACTCGGCCAGAAGGGGGATAAGCTTTCTAAATATGCAAGTAAAACAGAAAAAGTGAACGATTTTTAAACGAAAGAAAATAAACGATTTTTCGCACACTCGATTCTGGTATATATCTAGGATAAATGAAGACGATAAATTCTTCTTTTAGCTACCGTATTCACCCTCACTGAGACGAAATACTAGCGATCGATTTTTGGGAATAAGTCATTGCTAAATTACAATTTTTTAATCAACAAAAACTTTAAATCCTTGTTCTGGCTCAGAACGAACTTTTGTGGGGCTGGGAGGGCTTGGAAGCTGACTTCCAGAACTATGAGTGCCATTTGAAACAGTTGATGACGGAATTTTAGATTGTTGGCGAACATTGTGGTAAGAGACGAAGTGGGAAATCGAAGAACCAACTGAAATCAGAAATTTTAATCTGCTAAAGGAAATTCCAAAATTATACAAAATAGTGATGTGGGAGTGTTTATTCCTATTCGTCTTTAAAGTAGTCAGTAAAATTTCACTTAATAAAAAATATTTGGATGACAGTCATTGTCCATATTTTGTAGTTTTTTGCTTCGAATGTAAGACAAACACTTTTTTACATTATTACTTTTTTATAACTATATTTTTTGGGAAAGAGAACTCGGTAGCATTGACCGGCGCTTTTATCAGACTGCTGCAAGACTTTAAGAGCATCAGCGAATGTGTTGGGTGATAACAGAATTTTTACGACATTATAAGTGGTAGTTTAGCTTTATTAATGGCTTCAGAAAACGTCAAGTCCTACAGAACTGTTTTAGGATTATTATATTGTAATGCGAAGAATTGAGAAAATTACATAGATTTCTCAACTACAAAGTAGAAGAGTGGGAGAAGACACTCACAGTCGCTGAGCTTTTCCTTCTCATTATACTCAGGAACCGTATCGTATTCGTTCTCTTGTGGCTTTTGTGAAGAAAAGCTGTGGTATAAACTTATATGCATCGTAATATACACAAGACATTGGTAATAAAAATAGTTATATAACTGCCTGATTATTATGAATTTCTGTCACATATCTAGTAATTCGAAGCACACACCTACTAAAGATATAGTGACGTTTCTAGGGCTTAATGACCGGTTTTCAGGTTCCTTAATTTTTTCGTTGACAATCAAGACTTATGTTGAAACGATAATGAACAGCGGGTTATGCGAAAAGAATTTAACAAATATAGTCGTTAAAAACTAAGGTAATGTGCTTATTCTACTAAGCAAGTCTTGTCTGTTCTCGATATAAGAGAAAGGTCTCTAAATGGAATCTATATTACCACCCACAGTGATTTAGCGCCTCATCGATGCTGGGTGGATGATTCTGGATTTCGAGCTGCGATTTACAACAGAATTTCATTTTGCCTGCAGGATCGTCTAAGCTCAGAATGAGTTCAACATCTTCATTCAAAGCCAACTTAATAATAAACGGAATCACTATCATCTTAGTAGCAACATAGTAACTAGCTAGTAAGTGAAGGCGAAAGAATTCGGCAAGGCTTTTAACACTCCAAGAGAAGATAATCTTCTCCAACTAGAGAAGGACAAAGTTTTTCGTGATCAGTGGTGCCAGTCTATTCAACCATTTATAAACTTTTCTATTTAAAAAGAAGGCCAACACATGATTCCTTTTTTACTCATAATTACCATATAGATCATCACCTTGTGCTTGGATGAAACACTGCTTTACTCCGTGGCAGGTGACCATTTATGATTTGATTCATATTAGTTGAGGATTTCGTCGGATCACTATAAATAACAAATAGTGCTTATAATACTTATATTATAATATATAGTAATATGTGAGTAGGAAATGAATGGAAAGGTTGGATGTGAAATGTAACAACGATAGCTAAGGTTAAATGGTTTCTGCCTGCTCACAGAAGCTTATCAATTCATCATGTCTCTTATTCCCAGTGGCGTTCAGAAATTCATCAATACACACTTCAACGTACGAGCCAAATCCTAAACCATTTATGGAGAGAAAGAAAAATGGAGAGGGAAATATAGCTGTAGCGAGGTAAAGGGATAAACACGGAGGCAAGGAGATATAGCGGTAAACAGACGGAGGAATAGAGCTTAATAGTGAGAGGGCGAGAGCGAAAAGACAGATAAAACGAGAAAATCCCATGACTGTTTATGACCTAAAGAAGAAAAGAAAACAAAAATACGAAAATGATGCGTACCCTCGAATAACTAGACGCTCTACACGATTATTTGCCGTGAAGTGAGCCGACGATGGATCTTCGTTTTGGCTGGTTATTGGACGAAATGCCACCGGTTTAATGATTCCGTCGTTCTAAAACAGGAAACCCGGTGACGATTATAGTTTAAAGTTATGTTATAGTTATAGAAATCACCATTACAATAAGTACTCCAGCCAAATAATTGGCGATTATAATTCGCTGTCTTTTTCCTTTGAATAATCTATTCGTTTCCTCACTCAGATAAGCGTTTGCATTCTAGTGTTGGTTCTAAGTGGACACGGCACTCAACGGAACATTGCCGTTCTCACTACAATATTTCGATGAGTGTCCTACAGAATTCCAGGAGTGCACGATTCTATTCATCAACGTACTCTTTCTAGCAATTTTATTTCATGTGTGCTTCCAAAGCATAAAATTTAAAAGCTGCTAACGTTGCGACCGTGGTTGCCTGACTCGGCATAATCTCTACGTGGTATTATGTCTGCAAAAACATTATTGCTATGGCAGATACGTGCAAAATAATCCTAAAAATGAAAAAGTTTTCTGGATATTCAGTAGGGTAAGTTAGATCTCAGTGTCGATGTTTTTTATCGTTTCGAATTTTTAGATCTAGCAATAAGATAGATCGTTATCGGGAAGAAATCGATCCTCACACGGTTCTCGCGAATAATACTGAACGTTTTCTGTGAACGATATCTAAAGAGTGTTTTTCTAAGTTTACTGATATTTACAAAGCCGAGAAAACAGACGATTAGGAAAAGCTATTTTTAAAGCACATCAGTGTGGAAGAAGGCTAACTGGTGGTGGAAAAAGTGGAAAAAGTTTCCCGAAAGATAGTTGGAGGAAATTCCAATAAATTTCAGTGAAATATTAGACTATGGATAGCGCTTTTAGAAAAAAGTTATGAATTGGGTAAAAAAGGAGAGTTTCGGAAATAGTAGAATGTTATACCTTTTTATTTTCTGCCTAGTATAATTTCGCGGCAGGATACTAAGCGAAATACAACCACAACGCTGCTGAGATATTTGCAAAACTCTGGACCGCAGGTGTCTATGGTGGCGAACGAACGCGCTACTGTTCTTTCCGGGGAGTAACGCGTTCACCACCACACCATGCGGGTCCTTCGTTTCGCTTGTCTCTCAGCTATTTCTATCGATCTTTACTCCCCGGAAAGAACAATAGCGCGTTCGTTCCCCACCATAGACACCTGCGGTCCAGGGTTTTGCAAATATCTCAGCAGCGTTGTGGTTGTATTTCGCTTAGTACCCTGCCGCGAAGGTATAATAGGCAGAAAATAAAAAGGTATAACATTGTGATTTCAACTACAGCTGCAGCTTAACTGGGTTCTATGCCGATTTGGGCGCCCCAGATCAATCCCGCTGACGGGTGATTGCTGCGGCAAAAGATCGATAGAAATAGCTGAGAGACAAGCGAAACGAAGGACCCGCATGGCGTGGTGGTGAACGCGTTACTCCACGGAAAGAACAGTAGCGCGTTCGTTCCCCACCATGGACACCTAATAGTAGAATGATTTGTTTATAGTTGTAAGATTGATAGCAAATGAACAATATGAGATGAAAGATTATTTACTTTCTAACGAGTAAAAGACGGATGAAATTTCTACGTACGCAAGTAAAAGATAGGTGGAGGCAGTGAAATTTAAAAATAAGTGAAGATGGAAGCGAAATGGAGAAGATAATGCCCACAATTCAGATCAACCTTGACTACTTCACTTACTACGTATTTCCGCTTAATGAATGGCAGAATTTTACACAGACGATGAAATCCATGAGGAGGGTTGAGTAGCGATTGAACACTATCGGCACGAGTGTGTGTAAAGGGGTCTCGCTTTCGTACCGACTAACCAGCGCCCAACAAAAGAAAGACACGTTAATTTGCGCGGCTGAATTGCGGCACTAACTAAATTCAGGGTCAACAGTGTGGTGGGCCGTCTGATTAGTCAATATGCTGCCGAGCGCAAACGTTCGAACGTATTAAACCTAAATAATCTTAACATAAGACGGATGAATCTATCTGAACATTTATTCATGGTTTTATGAAGCCAAGGCGAGCTTAACCTAAATGATTTGAATGGAAATAAAGCGTAGATTTCCTAAGGTGAAATCTAGGCGGACTATTTTTGTTCAAAGTTAACCTAGGAGTTTGGATAGAATTTTGTTAGGCCTAAAAGCGTATATCTCTAAAAGATAGATGATTTTGGCCAAAGGTGATAATTAACGGCTTCTGCCCTGAGATGCTACTTCGCACGTACTTTCCTAAACTAACTGTTCCAGTTACATTAGCAGACTTCCATTACGGTTGATGCATTTAATTTGAATGCTATTAATGTTTGTTTGCCGTAGTTGAACATATCGGACATGAAATCGTTCACCCACTGTTGGCTTCATATCCGAAAATGGCATAATTCGTGGAGGTGGATTGTCGTCGAGGTTTTTTGTATAACCTGAAAGCCACAGAGGAAAAAATGACAAGGACCAACAAATTAAACTTATTTCGAAGCAAACTTTCACAAAAAAAGCAATGTTAGATGAATGTGGTCGAGTAGGATTCATAGCTACAAAAACTGTAAAATAAGCTTTAATAAAAATTCGAAACTCACCTAATTTACACCAAACGCTCGTCACCAAATAAATGGTGTGTTATGTATCTTCTTTTATTGGTAAGCCAACACCAGATTGTTGCCTTTATTCGGCAGAGATTTTTTAAAATGATGTTTCATTTCGAAAATTCGGATTTTCTATTCGGATGAAAGGCTGAATAACCAGAAATTGAGGAGGGAAGAAGAATAGCTTCCCACTATTGGTAGACAATGGGATAAAACAGAATACAAATCATAGTTGTTTTTCAAGCTAAAAGCTTTTGTGCTTTTTAGGGTTGAACAAGCAATACTCTATGAACCTCTGTACATATATCATCATCATTTACAATTTCACCTCTTAAATGGTTTCTTTTTCAACCTTTTTGCTACAAAAACTAAAATATGACGAAATCAATTGTACTAACCGTCCAACGTATTCATAATATTCTGTAGGCTGTTCATATGTTGATAGTGAAATGAGAGATCTTTTTGGCAGACGCTGTTTTCTCGTGTCTTCAAAGTTCGATGGTCCATCTCTCCTTTTCTATAAAAGTAGTAATAGACTGTTTATTGACAATAGTTGACCAACGCAAAGAACTTCCTATTTTCTTCTTCAAAAACGTTATCAA